GATACGTTTTAGATTTCACTGCACTCATTTTCCACTATTTAATAATAAACTTTGTATCGACGTAGTATCGCCATCAAGTTACAATTCAGAATGACTCCAATTCCTGCAGGCACAACATTTATATCGGCGTGAACGAAAGTCTCGAATGTTCCCGTCAAACGCGCCGCCCGAAACTAGACTGTACTGTCTCTCGTTGTTTCTAGACTAGACTGTACTGTCTACTAGTCTAGAAACAACGCGGCTTTTCTTTGACAAGTGCCGCGCGTTCCTTTGATAAAGCCACCTTTTGCCGCAAGCAGTGTTATTTTATTACGTAATACATTTTTGTAGTTTAGTTACCTACCTACTTATTAAAAATTTTTTTCTTCTCGAGATCTACTCAAAAAGCACTCGCGATCGACTGGTCGATCGCGATCGACCGTTTGAGCACCCCTGTTTTAGAGAATTACAAAACAATATATTTTAATTGGTCGAAGGAAACACATCAAACAAAGTTGATTAACTTGAAAGAAGATCATATTTTCCATCACGAAATAGGCAAAAAAATATATTTTATTCGTCATTTCACTTTCTACGATCTAATTATTTAAACTAGGTTCAGCAATTTTTGTAATAAAATATAATTAAAATGTATGTGAAAGGTTGACCTAGTTTTCTCGAGATCTCTCTGGAAATACTAATTAATCCTATAATTTTTACTCACTTTTTTTGTGGTCTTTTCACCGCCTGTAGAATAAAACTAGTCGAGGTATAGTAATAAAACAAGTGGAAACGGCCGCAATCGTCCCCGGCTTGCCGTAGGATTTGGGCGGGTCCTTCGAAACAAAGACACTTATCCTTGGCAGAGTTGCCAGAACGGTCACGTTAGCCCTCTTTGTTCTGGGATGAGATGAAAACCTCCTCCGAGAAGTAGGAGACAATCTCCGAGATATACAATGCTCGAACATATTGCATTTTCTCCTCCACGGGCCAGCGGTTCTTGGAGGCTAACCCTATCGTGAAGTGTTGTCATAAGTTTGAAGACGTAGTCTCGATCTATAGTTTTCTGTTAAAACGAGGCTAAGGTTTATGCTAACGTTTATAAAACACTAATACAAATATTAGTAAATAAAACACCGTATTTTGTACAAGGAATTTATAAACTTGAATTCCTATCATGTTTTATAGTGAGAAAAAAAGGAAGCCCCAATTAAAATTGTTTTTAATTTCACATAAAATTAAATATAAACTGGAAATATTAAACGCAAAACACTTTTAGTTCATTGATTGTACTAACAATTTAAAACTGAAACTATAAGCTGAAATACTTTCAGATAAGAACTCAATTAGAAATATTTATAACATGATTGTATCTATAAAAATTAACGAAGGGCTAAATTCATATAAACTTCGAGAAATACTAAGCGGGGACTGTGCCTATTAAACAATGCGCCAGGTAGATCAAAAGGGTAAGTTCAAATCGGATTCCGATCTACTGGAACGTTCAGGCGGCACTAATGCCGTCGGTAGTAGATTCCAGAGACATTTCGGATTGAAT